CCTGGCTCCGGAGGACAGGGGGGACCTGCCCGCCGCGCCGCGCCCGGCCTTCCCAGCCGTGCCCCGCGAGAAGCCCACGCGCAGGGTCAGCGACAGCTTCTTCCGGCCCAGCGTCATGGAGCCCATCCTGGGCCGCGCGCAGTACAGCCAGCTGCGCAAGAAGAGCTGAGTCCGCCGCGCCCCCGCCCTCCCGGCCCGGCCGGCGCGGAGGGCCAGGGCCCGGGGTCTCCAGCAAATAGAACCTACACTTCCAAGTGAGCGTTGACTTCTTCAAAGTAGTCCCCTTGGGACAAGAGCCTCATTCCGACCCTGCTGCCAAGACTCGCATCTTTTTAGCATCCTTTTTGGGCTTAGCTGTCAGAGCCCATTTTTAAGAAGCATCAGAGCAGCAGCCTGCTTTGATTCTATGCCTTGTTGTTTTTTTTTACCAAAAGATTAATTGCCTGACTTGATCTTTCACTTCTTTAAACAAACTTGTGGCCAAATGACATTTGGCTGTTTCCAAAATTTAGATCCATCCCCTGTAGACAAATATTTGCCACCAGTGAGTAACGTGTCGCCACCCTGAGGGTCCACGAAGGAATTCCTGACGCATTTCTAAGGACTGAGCTGAGAGACTCTTGAGTGCCCAGGCTCTCAGCAGACTGCTCTGAAGGGAACCACAGTCAGGTGCGAAAGGTCTTTTGTGTTTATATAAAATATTAGCGTCGCTTTCTGGGTACCCCGTACTCCTCACGGGCTGAGTCCGGGCCTTGCTCAGTAGCGCCACCATTTTGTTCACAGCCACATTTCCTTGTATCCTTACTCCCTTCCGCCTGCATATTCACCACCCCCGCCTGTCCCCCCTCCCCCCGTGTGTGGGGACGACAATGGTGACCGTTCACGTTATAAAGTATGGACTCTATAGCCATAGTTCATTCCAAGCCCTGTTTTTGAAAATGTTCATATTTGGTAAATCTAGGAAATGTACACATATAATTTAAAAATTCAAACATTGCAGAAGGCTATGTCTTCCTTCCTGAGTTCCCTGGTTCTCCTTCACAAAAGCAACCATGGTGCCAGTCTCTTGTGCATCCTTCCAGTTACAGGGTGTGCGTGTGCAAACACATGTGTATGCACTCCCCACTTTGTTTACACATCTGGGGCGTGTTATACTCATACTGCTTTTTTCACTTAATACATCTAGATGGGGCCTGCCGTGTGGCTTAGCAGGTAAGTGCACACACTCCGCCACTGGCAGTGCGGTTTGGATTGCAAGCGACGCACTGCTTGTCAGGCCATGCTGAGGCGGTGTCCCACATACAGCAACTAGAAGGATGTGGAACTACGACATACAACTATCTACTGGGGCTTTGGGGAGAAAAAGGGAAAAAAAAAAAAAAAAGGAGGGTGGGCAGTAGATGTTAGCTCAGGGCCGGTCTTCCACAGCAAAAAGAGGAGGATTGGCATGGAAGTTAGCTCAGGGCTGATCTTCCTCACAAAAAAAACAAAAAACAAAAAACAATACATCTAGAGATCTTTTTGTATCAGTATCATAAATCCTCCTTACTCTTTTTAACGGCCACATAGTATGTGCTTCATAATATAGATGTGCTATATCTGACCTCACTAGTTTGCTAATGATGGACTTTTAGGTTGTTCTAATCTTTTGCTCCTGCAAACAGTGCTACAATAAATGTCCTTAAATGGCTTGTGTAGATGCGTGGATATTTCTATAGGATAAATTTATAACTTGGAACCATGACATGCTAGGTGAAAGAGTATGTGTATTTTAAATATTGATAGATAATGCCAAGTAGTCTTCCAAAGCAAACTTGGTTTTTCTTATTTTCATCTGCAGCTGCCCAGATAATTATGACACCCCTGTCAGTCCTTTTAGACATCCATACATACACACTCATCCCCTACAGCCCCCCTCAGACCCGTGAGCACCCTCTTGGCCCCCATTCTGTTGCACGCCTGAAAGCCCAGCTCCCTGAAACTGACTCTGGGCCCTGGCAGATCTTTGGTGTAATGAGTTGTTGGCCTGGATCCATGGTTTTGAAATCTGAGGATGCCCAGAATGGGGAGAAGGGGGTGCTGGTGGACATACACACGTGGACATGGCTGGGACCCTGAGCTAGCCTTGGGCCTCCCACTACACCTCCACAATCCACAGCGCACCCAGCAGTTCCCTGAGGAGGAGGTGTGGATCTGGCAAGAGGGGCCCTTAGCAGCTGATATGACAGGGCTAAGAAGACAGAGCCCAGCCTAGCCCTGGCAGGGCCCCCGTGGGCAGCTGCTGGAGGAGTGACCTCAGGCCTGGGTGTGCAGAGAGAAACGCCTAGCTGTCCTGGGCCTCGCCTGCCCATGCTGCTTTCTTCCTGGAGCTCTGCAAACCACACTCCAGGCCACTCCTCCACAGTCCTGTGGCTCCTCCTGTGAGGCCAAACCCCAGTAGGCAGAAAAGCTGCCCTCTCAGCAACCCAGGAGAGCGAGAGCTGGGGCCTCGACAGGGCTGTAGCAATCAACGCACCCACTGGCCAGGCTCAGACCCCTCACCCTGCCCTAGAACTCAGCCAGGGTGCTGGGGGCCAGTATATGGAATGGGACAGCCCAGGAAAACAAACGGTTTAAGTCAGAAAGTCTCTTTATCATTAAAAACCTCTTGATTAGGTAGCAAAGTGCTCTGAGCCTGTGCCTCAGTATTTCTGAACACTTTTTGGTGAGAAAAGAGAGCAAAGCATCTCCTCTAAATGGCAGAAATTTGCTTCGTTGGCTCCAGGCTGGATGTGGGACTTTTCTCTGTTCTGAGAGGCATCACTCTGGTGAGCCTTCTCACTCGTGTGGATGTGAAGGCTCATCCACACGCATCTTTGGTAGCTCAGGACCCCGGGGAAGACCTCCTTTTCACATTGGGATGCCAAAGTCCCTCTGCAGAGAAATACCTTGCCTCCTCTCTTCTATTCCAGCTGACAAAATGCAGCTCCAATTCAATCAAAGCTTTTGGAGATGGAAAAAGAACCATTAGAGACAATAACATACATTTATCCATGCATTTATTTACCACCTGTTTCTTCCATAATTATCTAGGATCTTAATATATCCAAAGTTCTTCTGTGCCTGGAGAGAGATATCACTATGACTTGGGCTTCAGTGCTCATTGTATTAAGCATAATTTTCTTAAACATGTGAACACTTCATACTTAAAAACTTATAAAATGCATAAATCAAATTATTTTAAATATTTAAATGTTGATTACAAACTAAAAAGTTAAGTTCTTTTGAACATTTCCATAAACCCGGAGTCAATGGAAACTTCTGCATGTCTTATTGGCACCTTACTATAGGTAGCAGGCATCAAAGTTTCCTCTGTTTGCAGAGAGGGGACTGGGTCTGTGCAGACTCAGTCCAGTCTCCTCCTACAATGTACTTTTGGACCCTTCTTCTACCCACCACTCAACGGAAGAGCTAGAACGTGTGCGGTTCCATTAAAATGTCCTGTGTGACATCTATGTTCCCACCCTGACCCGACTCCCAGTAACCACAATCCTGAATTTTGTGTTTATTAACCCCTTGTTTTTCTTTATAGATTTATTTCTTATGTATGTACCCATTCCAATATTGTTTGGTTTTGCATGCTTTGAACTTGAAGTGGAATTATATGTACCTTTCTGAGACTTTCTTTTTTTCACTCAAAATGAAGTTTTGAGAATCACTTATTTTCAGTAGAGATTCTTATTATACAAATATTGCTATGGTCTGATTGTTTGTGTCCCCCAAAATTCACATTTTGAAATCCTAACCCCCAGAGATGATAAGATTAGGAGATAGGGCCCTTGGGAGGTGCTTAGGCTGCGAGGGCGGAGCCTCACGAATGGGATTCAGGTCTTTATCAAAGAGGCTCCAGACAGATCCCTTGCTTGGTAATCTGCCATGTGAGGACACAGCAAGAAGGCCCTGGCCATGAACAAGAAGGGGGCCTTCTCCAGAACGTGACCGTGCTGGCGCCTTGATCTCGGACTTCCCAGCCTCCAGAACCGTAAGAAATAAATTCTGTTGTTTATAAGCTACCCAGTCTGTGGTATTTTGTTACAGCCATCAAATGGACTAAGACAAATATATTTTGTATTTAATAAGTATGTATAAATATATGATAATTTATTTAGTCATTTGTATTAGAACTGATTCAGTTTTGAGAGACAGAAAGCCCTAAATAACAATGTGTGTGAGTCAGCCTTTGTCATAATATTGCTGCACAAAGACTACCCGAGAACTCAGTGGCTCAGGAAAATGTGCATTTATTCCTACGTCTGTGGGTCAGTGGGCCGACTGTGGTTCGGCTCATCACTGTGGCACTCATGGGTTCAGATCTGCTCCAGATGTGCTATTTCAGGGCTCCAGGGTAAGGGGTCAGTGGCTATCTGGGGCACAGATTACTGGCACACAAGAACTAAGACCACATGGCTTTTGCTTGCATCACGTCTGCTCACATTCTGTTGGCCAAAATGTGTCATATGGCCAAGTCCACATCCATGGGGAAGAAGAAGAGAGAGAGGAGCAAATATTTGCTGAACAATAATAGAAACTAGCACACAGTGGTTTAAATATGATGTAAGTTTATTTCTCTCTCATGTAAAAGCCCAGAGATGAGTGATCCAGAGCTGGGATGGCACTCTGCAGCGACAGGGATCCAGGCTTTTTCTATCTTATTATTCTGCTGTGAGTGATTTCCTTTCCTGAAGTCATCTCATAGGCCAAGATGGCTGCTCCAACCCCAGCCATCAACTCCATATTCCAGCCACAGAAAAGAGCAAGGGGTAAGGAAAAATTAAACATGTCACTTCTGCTTATAATTTACTGGACAAAGCTTAGTCACAGTAGATGCCACATCTAGCTGAAAAGGAGGCTGGGAAATATAGTCTTTATTGGGAGTGGCTAAAAGTCAGAGGTCTTGAAAGGAGGGGAATGGATCCTGGTGGTGGGGGGCAACTTACAATCTCTGCCACACCACTCTCCTATCAATAGACACTTGTGTTGTTTCCATATTTTTAACTTTGGACAGTGAACATTATTATGTGTTTCTTAGGGAATATGATTAAGAGTGGGATTGCTAAGTCATAAAGTATGTGGATCGTTAACTAGATATTGCCAAATTGTCCTCCAATGTGGTTGTTCTGATTTACATTCTTACTGGAATTATGAGTCCTCTTACTCAACCTTCTCACCAATACTTGATATGGTCTAGTTTTATCATTTTTGCAAATCTGAAGTGTATAAAATGGTATCTCATTGTGGATTTAATTCCCCGATTAGCATTGATATTGAACATTGTTTATTATGCTTATTGAATACTGTATTTGTATTTCCCCTTCTGTGAAGTGTCTGTCAAAACTTTTGAGCAATTTTCTACTGGTAGTTTTTCTTGTTGATTTTTAGATGTTTTTTATATTTTCTGGATACTAATCCTTTATCAGCTGTATGTATCACAAATTTCTTCTTCCAGTTTGTGACTTGTCTTTCCATTCTCTATGGTTTCTTTCAATGAACAAAAGTTCTTAATTTTAATTTAGTCAAAATTATAATTCTTTTCCTTTTTATTTTGCTATTTTGAGTTATGTTTTAAAAACTCTTCCCTACCATGAAGTCATGAAGATATTCCCCTATATTTTCATAGTTTTGCTTTTTATATTTAATTAATTTTTATGTATGGTTGAAGTAGGAATCTGACTTTTTTCTTCCATATGGATAACTGATTGTCCTATATACATTTCCTAATTTGTTGACTTTTTAGTCTCTCCTTAATTGAATTGTATACTGTGGGAAGGTTTTTAAGAGTTTCTCTTGGAAGTTAGCAGGAAGCTTCTGACCTGTCGATGCCTGATGCCTGAATGATGCTTTCTTGCATCTAGATGGGGCTTAGGGACAAGGTTCTGCCTCACGTGTGGAATAGTCTGGCTTCCCCCTACGGATCTGCACTCTCAGTTCTGTCATAGATCAAGTATCCAAATGTGGTCTATTTGTCTATTCCCATGACATTTACACATTGTCTGAATTACAATAGTTTAAAATATGTTTTCACATCTTGTTGGGCAAGGCACCCCACATTGCCCTTCTGTAAGAGTGTCTTTGCAACTTCTGGCTCTCTGCTTTTCCATATAAATTATAAAGTCAGCTTGTCAAATTCCACAAAAGAAATGTTTGCAGACTCAACTTGTTTCAATTAACTATAATTATTCTTTGCTCTTTTGATGCTCTTGTTGTCACAATTTGGCCCCTTTAAGTTGGGGTCTTTGTCCTTTCAGGCCTACAACAGACATTTTAAAAGCATCTGAGCTTTCTGACCACAAAAAATTATTCCAGTTCTTGACCTAATACATGGAATCAGCTACTTTTAATGGGGAATAGTGATAGAGACCACACTTTGGACACGGGGGTGTGCATATCGGATTGTTCCATGTGAATATTGGTGGTGGATAGAAAAACTCTGCACATCCACTAGCGAGAGCTGGAAAAAACATATTTCTTTCCAAGGTCATGAATTCACATTGAGAGTGCATGTGAACTTTAACATTACAATTCTTTAAAAATGTTATTATAACATAAAAGTTTCAATTTTATTTTCTCTAAACTTAATTAATATAATTGTAATTATAATTATAATTGTATCTCCTCTTTTTTTTTTTTTTTTTTTTGGGGAAGATCAGCCCTGAGCTAACATCCATGCTAATCCTCCTCTTTTTGCTGAGGCAGACTGGCTCTGAGCTAACATCTATTGCCAATCCTCCTCCTTTTTTTTCTTCCCAAAGCCCCAGTAGATAGTTGTATGTCATAGTTGCACATCCTTCTAGTTGCTGTATGTGGGACGCCGTCTCAGCATGGCCCGAGAAGCGGTGCGTCGATGCGCGCCCGGGATCCGAACCGCGGGCCGCCAGTAGCAGAGCGCGCGAACTTAACCACTAAGCCACGGGGCGGGCCCAATTGTATCTCCTCTTAAATATTAGGTTTCATCAATCATTATCACTTTTTGTTACATTTACACACATGAAGATCCAAGTTCAGTTTTCAGCTTCCTCACACTTGGAGTCTAAATGGACCTTTTTGACCATTATGGTAACAAGCTGCGCCATATCATTCTGGCTTAGGACCCAAATGCTTTAGAATATTTGGGGCCAACAGTGTAATTCTACAGCATGTCAGAGAACCCTAAGGTTTCATCTATTTTTCTCAAATGCTTGAATTTTTAGTTTCTCCTTAATTGAAATATATATAGTAGGAAGTGTCAGAGCTTCTGGCAGCTTCTGACAGACAGATGTTTGGTGCCTGGATGATGGTCACTCATAGTATGTGAATCAGTTGACCAGCCTCTCTTAGCCAGGATTGTCTGGCATCTAGTTTGGGGACTTGACTTCTAAAACACAAGGAGATGTCATCGTGAGGACACTTCTTCATTCTCCAGATATGTTCTATGCACCACCCTGTCACTTCGTGCCTACAATATGAAAATATGAGCCATATTGATCCACATCCATATTTCTGTTAATATAAAGACAGTTTTTCCTTCTTTTCTTCAACAGCTTTTACCAAAAACCCCTATGGAGTGACTATGCCAGGTCTTGGGCCAAGCGAAAGGGACATAGAGATTCATAAGGAACATTCCTTTGAAGGATCTCACGGTTTAGTAGGTAAGATGGACAAGTTAGAATATGTTTATTATCAATGTGTATAATATATACGTACTTGCTTGTATATCATAGTGCTATAGTCCCTCCAAATTTTGTTTGTGTCCCTCCAAATTCCTATGTTGAACTCCTAACCCCCAAGGTGATGGTATTTGGAGGTGGGGTCTTTGGGTGGTGATTAGGTCATGAGGGTGGAGCCCTCATGATTGGGATGAGTGCCCTTATAAAAGAGACCCCAGAGAGCTAGCTCGTCCCTTCTGCCATGTGAGGACACTATGAAAAGATGGCCGTCTAGGAAGTGGGCCCTCATCTGACACTAAATCTGTGGAAGCCATGATCTGGGACTTTCCAGCACCCAGAACTGTGAGAAATAAATGTTTGTTGTTTATAAGCCACCCAGGCTATGGTATTTTGTTATAGCAGCCCGAATGGACTAAGACATATAGAGAATAATAGTTGGAAGGGTACCCTCCAAGACATTGACTGTGCTTACCTCCCTCCCTTTGTGCTTTTGTGCTCTTTAATTTTTTTTTTTTAATTGGCATGTGTTACAGGGGCAGGAGAGAGACCAGTGAAGAGGCTCTGCAGAAGCCCAGGTTGAGAGACAGTGGTGGCTCGGGTGGCGAGGTTGTGGAGGACGAAGAGACGTGCCTGGACTGAAAGCTGCTGAGGGGGAATCAGGGCTTGGTGGTAGATGGGAGAAGAGAAGGGGAGTCAAGGATGGCTTGAGTGATGGGGTGGACGGTGGGGGGCATGCGGGAAGAGATGCTTGGGGGCAGTCCCCTGGGCAGCACCTGCTGAGGTAGATGCAGGATGAACACCTCTGCAAGGTTCCCACTGGTCACTTTCCCACAGAATAACCTCTCCAATAGGAGAGGTTGGCTATGAACTCTACAGCAACCCTCACCTCCCAGTGGCCTCTCCTAGGGAGAACCCAACTTGTCCATCTAGGAACCCGAGGCTGGTGGCAGTGCAGTCCACCAATGGATCAGTGGATCCCATGCCCATTCCAAACTGGGGGCTTACAAGCTAGAGCTGTGGGGCCAGGCCTTGTTAGGGCCTGCCTTGGGGGTGAGGCTCTCTGCCTGGCATCCTAGAAGGACTGAACAGGAGCTCCCTCGAGGCTTCATCGTCCATCCCTTGGGTCTCCCGGGGTCTGGGGCAGAGAAAGTGCACAGCGATGACTTTTCCTGGTGTGAGTGCAGAGGGTGCAGCCAGGGACAGGCCACACAGGGTGGAGTGGGCCCCCCTCCCAACCTCAAAAATCTCATGGGGGATGGATCCTTCTCAGCTTTAGAAGGGGTAGTGAAATCAGATGAGAAGAGGGGGTTGGAGGTTCTTGGGTCTGGAGGGAGAACTTTGCTGAGCTTTGAGGGAGCGTGGGCAGTGCTGCGCTAGAGGGGTAGCAATGGCGGGAGGAGGGAAGGTCTGCACCTGAATGAACGAATGAATGAACGAAGTAGCTTATCTTTAGTCCGCTGTTAACCAGAGTCTCAGGGTTGGAAAATCCACCCTCCTCTTGCGGAGTGAAAAAGTTTCCTAGTTCGTTTTCGTCTTCTGACTTGTTACAGCGTGAATTATGAGATTTAGGTGCCCGCTCCATGAGCAGGTGGGCTTCTCCAGCTGGGAGAATCAGGCCGGCCTTGTTGATCGCAGTGTCCCCAGAATTCAGCGAGTGCTGGCGCGGTGCTCGGGTCTGGGGACGTGTGGTCCCACCCCTCGGGCAAGGTCCCGCCCAGTCCCCGCCCCTCCTGTCCCGCCTCGCCCTGTCTGCGGACAGACTCCGCGGCGCCTCCCGGCTCGGCCTCCGCCTCCCGGCGCCCAGGCGGGCGGAGTTGCGGGGGAGGGGCGGGATGTTTTGGGAGGCGGGGGTCCCGATGACGGCATCGGAGCGCGCCGCGCTGGGGCTCGGAGCCTGACTGCTCCGGGGGAACTGCGCTGACACCCAAGCAGGTGGGTGCGGGCCCGGGAGGGGGTGGAGGTCGAGAGCTGGGATGGGTGGGGGGAGGCGCGCGCTCGCCCCCTCCGTGCGCAGGCCTGGGCCGGGTGGCACGGGGAGCCGGGACGCCTGGGGAGCCCTGACCCGGCACGAGGAGCCCCCATCCTTGCTTACCAGCTTCCTGGAGGCCCCTCCCTGGGCGGCCGGGAGTCCCCCCACCTTCTAAGTCGGGGGCCTGAGTCCGGCGTCCCGGGCCTGGGCAGGAGGAGTGAGCTGCGAGGGTCGGGGCCGCATTTGTAATCACTTCTCCAAACTTCCCGGGAGCTCCTGTCGCGTGTCCGCAGCCTCCGGCTCCTGATCCCCTACCCGGGCGCCCGGCCGCACCGGTGGAGTTGTCCGGGCGCCTTCGGTGCGCGGAAAAGCCGGACCGCCCGGGCCTGAAAAAGTTCGGGGTGAGCGGTGCGCGAAGGCGCCCACAGTATTGCGCGGCACTTACCGCTGTGTGCCCAAGGCCGGGACTCAGCAGGGACTGAATGAATGAACGAACGAACGAACGAACCGTTACATGTGCTGAGAGAAGTTAAATAGAAATAACTGCTGTGGGCTCCGGGGGTAGAGGGTCGTCAGGACTGCGATAAGAGGAGGGAGGAGGGGGGAGTTCCTTGGGTGAAGATTATTCATCACTATTGGGTAGCTAGTAAGCGTCAGACCTGTGCTGGGACTGGAGATACAGCACGAAGGGGCAGGGGGGTCCCTGCCTCCCAGCTCCTAGTCTGAGAGGTGGGGGGAGACCAGCGGGTCATCTGGCAATTGCAACAGAATGGTCAGTGGCTGATGGGAGCAGCACTCCCAGAGTGTGTGTGTGTGTGATGGGAGCAGCTCTCCCAAAGTCTGTGTGTGTGTGATGGGAGCAGCACTCCCAGAGTGTGTGTGTGTGTGTGTGTGTGTTCTAAGAGATGGGGTCACAGGAGAAAGGCAGCTGGAACAGAGAAGCCTTTGAGTGTCAAGTGGAGAAGTTAGGGCCTGATTTTGCCAGTGATGGGAGCCATGAAATGTTACTGTGTAGGTCTGCATCATGGCCCTTGCAGCATTTAGGCACCAGGCTGGGGCGTGGAGGATGCTCTGAACTTTGTCCACCCTCCTCTCCTCCCCTCCAAGGTCAGGAGCTGCAGCATTTGGCTCCAGGTCATGGGCGGGATGGGTCCGGCCCTCTGAGTAGAGGGGCTGATGGCAGGGGCCTCTTCCTCTCTCTGCAGGGCCGGGAGCAGGGTCTGGTGCTCCCTCCCTCAACATGGGTCTGGAGGCCCAGAAGCTGCCAGGGGCCGAGGAGGCCCCCGTGAGGGTGGCCCTTCGAGTCCGCCCATTGCTGCCCAAGGAGCTGCTGCATGGGCACCAGAGCTGCCTGAGGGTGGAGCCGGGGCACGACCGTGTCACCCTGGGCCGAGACCGCCACTTCGGCTTCCATGTGGTGCTGGATGAGGACGCTGGGCAGGAGGCTGTGTACCAGGCCTGCGTGCAGCCCCTCCTCGAGGCTTTCTTTGAGGGCTTCAATGCCACCGTCTTTGCCTATGGTCAGACAGGCTCTGGAAAGACGTACACCATGGGGGAGGCCAGTGTGGGTAAGTGACCCTGCTCGAGGCCCCATGCCGATGTTGAGGGCCTCAGTGTCTCCTGAATTTCTGCCCCTGCCCTCTTGCTGCCATTCCCTGTGAAGGTGGGGATGCTGGGGGAGGGAGAGCAGGTTTCCTAGACAGAGCTGCAGCCCAGGGTGGGACCAGCCTTGTCATTGGGCTGGGCAGGGCAGGAAGGAAGGATCCTTGGAGGTGAGTGGCCTTCTCAGCTTCACAGAGATGGGGTCACGCTGTCTGGTTCTGGGGACCTTAGGGGAGGAAGGGCACAGGAAGTTGGCTTGTCTCTGGAGGTTGCCAGGATGGCTGCCAGGGTCAGGAATCCATGTTCTGGTCGGCGTGGTTGGAATGGGGACTGTCCTGGAAGAGACCTGCTCTGGCTGCAGAGCAGGGGAGAGGGCTGGCTCTGTGAGGCTCTGCAGCAGAGTTTTGGGAGAGATGATTTGCTTTGGGCCAATTGAAGGAACTGTCCCCTTTTAAGTAGCACGAACTGCTTTCTCTTAGGTTATAAAAGTGTACTTGTTTGTCATAGAAAATACAGAAAAATACATGCACAAAATAAAACTTACTTGATAATTGCCTTACAGAAACCACTCACCCTGTTAACATTCCAGTTTCTTTCTTTCTTTTTTATTTTTATTTTTTTTTTGTGAGGAAGATTAGCCCTGAGCTAACATCCATTCTAATCCTCCTCTTTTTGCTGAGGAAGACCGGCTCTGAGCTAACATTTATGGCCAATCTTCCTCCTTTTTTTTTCCCCCAAAACCCCAGTAGATAGTTGTATGTCATAGCTGCACATCCTTCTAGTTGCTGTATGTGGGACGCGGCCTCAGCATGGCCGGAGAAGCAGTGTGTCGGTGCGCGCCCGGGATCCGAACCCGGGCCGCCAGTAGCAGAGCGTGTGCACTTAACCGCTAAGCCACGGGGCTGGCCCTCCAGTTTCTTTCTCTGTGAAAATTATTACACTTAAAAAAAAATAGGATTATATTGTATCCATTTTTTTGTATCCTGTTTTATTTTCTTAACAATATATCATGAACATTTCTATCATTAAATATTTTTCAATCTAATTTTTTAATGGCTGCCTGGCATTCCATTGTGAATAGAAGGTAATTTATTTAATCAGATCCCCTATTGGATCTTAGGATGAACGTGTAGGATGTTTGCATTTTTTTGAAGTTATGAGGAAGAGTGCTGCTCTGAACATCCTATTACTTCCTTGGGACAAATTTAGGAGGTCCTTCAGATAACGGAACATAGACTGTAGTAATGAGCTCCTTGTCCTAGGAAATAATCAAGCCAAGGCATGATGATCTGGCAGGGAGGGATGTAGTGGAGGGTAGGCTTATGTCATGAAAGGGGTTGGTTGACCCATGAGAGGTTGCTTCCAACTCTGAAATTCTGTAATTATGCCTGACCATTCTGGAGGATGGCCTGGCTCAAGCTGCCTAGCCCATCCTTCTCTACACTGGAGCCCTATCCTCCAGCTGCTGGCAGGGCCCTTGTGGCCTTGGGCCATGTCCAGCTGAAGGCACAGTGGCAGGAGGCCCTGAAATGTCTCCCCAGCCTCCCTCCACGAGGATGAGCAGGGCATCATCCCACGGGCCATGGCTGAGGCCTTCAAGCTGATCGATGAGAACGACCTGCTTGACTGTCTTGTGCATGTGTCCTACCTGGAAGTGTACAAGGAGGAGTTCCGAGACCTGCTCGAGGTGGGCACCGCCAGCCGTGACATCCAGCTTCGGGAAGATGACCGCGGGAATGTTGGTGAGGAGATCTTGAGTCCTCCACTGGCAGGGAGTGGGGCATGTGGCTTGAGGAGGCTTCCCCTGCTGAAGGGCGGCTGGCCTGTCTGGGAGGGGTACCACCTAACTGGGAAATCCTTCTGTACCCAGAGTGAGAGGCGCTGAGGCGGGCATGCGGGAAGCTGGAGCCCCTCACGCCCAAACCAGGATGGGCAGGACCCCCTGGGCGTGGGGCAGGGCACATGAGTCAGGAAGAGCTGTGACAGGGTAGTCCTGCCCTGCCTGCTCTCCTGGCTGGTCAGCGTCAGGCTGCCCCTGCCTGTGGCTCACAGCCTTCTGTGCCAGCAGTGCTGTGTGGGGTGAAGGAGGTGGACGTGGAGGGCCTGGACGAGGTGCTGAGCCTCCTGGAAATGGGCAACGCAGCGCGGCACACAGGGGCCACACACCTGAACCACGTCTCCAGCCGCTCACACACGGTCTTCACGGTGACCCTGGAGCAGCGGGGGCGCGCCCCCAGCCGCCTGCCCCGACCCGCCGCGGGCCAGCTGCTCCTCTCCAAGTTCCACTTCGTGGACCTGGCAGGCTCGGAGAGGGTGCTCAAGACGGGCAGCACAGGCGAGCGGCTCAAGGAGAGCATCCAGATCAACAGCAGCCTCCTGGCTCTGGGCAACGTCATCAGCGCCCTGGGTGACCCCCAGCGCCGCGGCAGTTACATCCCCTACCGGGATTCCAAGATCACCCGGTGAGCCCCCCTGATGGCCGGCCGGCCCACGGGAGAAGGGGCCCAGAGAGCCGCTCTTGTCTGTCACGTCTCCTGTTTGGTCTTAGGCTGGGGCTCGGGGAGGCGAGTAGGGGATGGGTTCCCCTCTGGCTTCTGGGGCGCTCTGCCCATGCCACCCGAGGTATCTGGCCCACAGGGCACCAGGCCGACGATCAGGCCCGATGTGGGGTCTAGACTGCCGGCCCCAGCTCGTTGGGGCACCTGACACGCCTCCCCTGGCGTCCTCAGGATCCTCAAAGACTCGCTGGGCGGGAATGCCAAAACGGTGATGATCGCCTGCGTCAGCCCCTCCTCCTCCGACTTCGACGAGACCCTCAACACCCTCAATTACGCCAGCCGCGCCCAGAACATCCGCAACCGCGCCACCGTCAATTGGCGGCCCGAGGCCGAGCGCGCGCCCGAGGAGGCGGCGGCCGGTGCGCGGGGG